TATTATTTTTGTTATTGTTATTAGTATTATCATTATTGTTATTATTATTATTATCATTATCATTATTATCATTATCATTTTTATTGTCTTTATTACTATTGTTATTATCATTATCATTTTTATTATAATAGTTATTATCATTGTATTATCGCTATCATTTTAGTTATTTTTTTATCATCCTTATCATTATTGTTATCACTATTATCATTATTATTATTGTTATTATTATTATTATCATTATTATTATTATTATTATTATTATTATTATTATTATTATTATTATTATTATTATTATTATTATATTATTATTATTATTTATTATTTATTATTATTATTATATATTATTATTATTATTGTTATTATTGTTATTATTATCAATGTTATTATTGTTGCTTTCATTATTATAATTATTATCATCATCATCATCATTTTTAGAGTATTTTTATTGTTGTTTTTATAATAATTAGTATTAGTAGTGGTATCATTATCATTATCATCGTTATTATTGTTGTTATAATATTTGTTAGCATTATTGTTATTAATATCAAAATCATCATCATTATCATCATCATCATTAGTAGTAACTAGAAATAGTATCATGATGATGATAATGATTGTTATTACTGTTAATGTTATGATGATGACGATAACAACAAACACAACAGCAGCATGATAACCCCCCCCTCCCCCTCCCCCCAGGACCTGACCATCTCCGACCGCTCGACCGTCGGCCTCTCGTCCACCGTCGTCGGCTTCCACATCGAGAACTGCAACAGCTCCGTCATCGTCCAGTCGCACTCGTTCGACCACCTCTTCAACCTCGAGAGGATGAGCTTCCGCAACATCTTCAACCTGGTCCTCGAGAGCCGCAGCCTGGACCTCGAGAACTACAACCCCAAGGACTTCCAGCTGAGCATCGACACGGTCCTGAACCTGTATTTGAAGGAGGAATCCGTCCAGCTGGATGGTCTCGAGGGCTCGCGCATGGGCACCGCGGTCACCATCAGGAACGCCTTCGTCGTCGAGATGGCGCCGGCCTCCATCGCGGGGTCCCTGAGGAAGCTGAGTTTCGAGAACCTCATCTTCGGGCGGCTGGTGCAGAGCGGGACCGTGGACGTGGGTTCCAGAGGCTGCGAGGTCAGCCTCACCAACTGCGACGTCTCCAACCACGGCCTCGAATCCGGCTGGCTCAGCGGCCACGTGACCCACCTGTCGCTCGTGAACAACAGCCTGACTCTGCTCCCCGACGCCTTCTCCGGCGTCACCATGGTCGGGAGCGCCCCGAGCTTCACCCTGGAGAACAACGTCCTGGGCGAGTTCCGCAGCAAGGGCGGCCCCTCGCTCCCCTCGGGCGCGCTCCACCTCAACACCTCCGGCGCCGCGGTGGAGGCCGAGGCCGCGAACAACCGCCTGAAGTGCGGCTGCGATGACCTCGCCTGGCTGCTGGAGGAGCCGTCGACGCGCTTCAAGTGGCAGGTCAGGTCGTCGCTGGTGTGCTCCAACGGCACGATAAACGAGGCCATCGCCAGGTGCAGGCCCGGCGGCACGACCCCGAGCTCGGCGACCTTGACCTCGTTGACCTTCACACTGACACTGGCTCTGCTTCTGGTTCTGAGATGGGTCAATTAATCGCCTTTTCCGTTTTGAGGATGTCATTACATTAATGACATCGTTATGTACAGCTTGTCTCTTAATTTTCCTGTCTGTCATTAATGTTGTATCAATGGCGATAAGAATATGGTTGTGTTTTAGGTCACTGCTTCCTATTTATGGCTAATTATCAAGCACATTATCGTCATCATACTTTAGCTGAAATCTTCATTATGAAAATATCCACCTTTTCATTATCATCATGTTTATCATCCCTTTCGCAACTTCTTTCATCATAGGTGAGTGAAATGACTGTTGTCATTGTTATAGGGAGAGAAATTTTAATGCCATGAAAAAAATAGAATACATTAAAAATGATTCATCTGGACTGTACTTTTGCGTCGGAGGAAACGGAAATATTTATGTAAATAAAGTTGTATATTAATTCTTTATCTATTTTACCTTGATGATATTTAGCATCTTTCATTAAATATGTAAATATGCACACACACATACACATACCACACAACACGTAAAAAGAAAGAAAGAAAGAAAAGAAAAAAAAGAAAAAAAAAAAAAAAAAAATATATATATATATATATATATATATATATATATATATATATATATATATATATATATATATATATATATATATATAGATATATATATATATATATATATATGTATATATATATATATATATATATATATATATATATATATATATCATATATATATATATATATATATATATATATATATATATATATATATATATATATATATATATATATATATATATATATATATATATATATATATATATATATATGTAGCATATGTACGTGTGTATGTCGTTTTGAGTATGTGTATTTGTATTTGTATACGTGTACACGATTATTGGTACATATTCAAATACTGTATAGTCGTATACGTGTGCACATTAATGAAGCAATTGTTATAGATACTTCCCATACAATTGCAGATAATAATGGTAATGACACTCAAAAGTTTATGACTGAACAGACTTATTAGTCAGAGAGCCCAGAGAGATTTAATCAGCATGTCGAGTACAAAAGGTTTGACACCTGGGTTGAACACCTAAGGGGCCATGGATCCCTAAACGGCCATTCTTAAGTGAACACGTTGTGGGTTTGGCCACTTAAGAACGACCTAATTAATGCTAATTACCACTTTTAATCAGCATGTTGAGTACATCAGTGAAACCTTTACAGAATATACTTTATGGCATGCTGATATCATATTGGTAATTCTTAAGTGTCGGTTTTGTGGAAAAAGCCACTTAAGAAGAGGTCAAAGGTAGTGAACCGCCCAAATTCCGTCTTCCGGTACCTTTAAAATGACTGCTACTCCATTACTATTTGGAGTACTGGGTCAAGATTGGACTTCAAATGTAGATTTTAATGGGAGGAATAAGGATCACTTGTTTAATCATCCATTCTCGGGTACTGTTATTACACAAAACAAAAACAAGTTGAAAAAATGGTACTTTTTACTCCACTGGCTTTAAAGTTTTATCAGCATGGTTGAGTACATCCATGAAATCTACACCAAAATGTTCCTCTACCAACACATAATAAGAATCAATCATTCTTAAGTGTCAATATTTTGGACAAATCCACTTAAGAACGACGGACAGGTCAAAGTGCACTCGTTGACCCAACCAAAGGTTTCAATCATCATGCGGAGTACATCAATAAAACTTGCAGGATATGTTCCCCGAGACATCTTGACAGCATCCAAGCCTTTCTTAAGTATCTCCATGCTATATATATATATATATATATATATATATATATATATATATATATATATATATATATATATATATATATATATAGAGAGAGAGAGAGAGAGAGAGAGAGAGAGAGAGAGAGAGAGAGAGAGAGAGAGAGAGAGAGAGAGAGAGACAGAGAGAGAGAGAGAGAGAGAGAGAGTGATGCACTCTTTGCCCAGATCCTTGTCTTCTTTTTTTTTAGTTACATCATTATGTAATATGTTTTGATGCCAACCAGAAGTGGCTACTCTAGATGAGTGTTATAATGCAATTAAAATGGGAGGCAGGGCAGCCAGAGGTAACATGGATTATTAATCATATACTTCAAGTGGTAGTCTTACTGGCAAAATTGCTCAGGGTCCTGTGATGCGCTGTGGAACCTGGTACCACACTTTTCTTAACAAATGCCTCCCTTGCAACCATATAGCTGCAATTATATCTCTGCTTTCTTTACAATAAATCTGTTACTCTCTTCATTCTTTCTTCTTTTAGCCCACTAATGTACTATATATCCCATAGATGAAGAATCATGTGTAATGCCATGAAATAAAATGCATAATCTAAATATGAAGTTGCCTAACCATGAGGCTGTTGAGATAACCTATTTCTGTGTAAGCACTCCTTGTAATATCAGAAAAAATCTTTAAGCCAATTATAAAGACTTCCCATTCAAAATCAAAATCCATAATTACTGAATGGATAATAAACAAATGTACTTTTGGCTTTACTAATCATTTCATCAAACTATGAAGAAATGAAATAAACGTTCTTCATACGGCATCTTACAAAAGAATGTAAGTAGGAACATTAATCATGGTAATAAAGAAAACAATATCAAATGACATACATTTACTAATTGGTCTAGTATACATAATCAGTAATTTGGTTCAGGCATTGATTGAACGTAAAGTGGCAGTGTTTATACAAACTTAGTACTATTAGTAGACTAAACTGTCCATACTTATCAAGATAAGAAACTAAATTATTATTAACTCTTTTAATCAGTTGACTTCCACATAAATCACGGTAAAATATAAGAAATAATTTGTTAAAAGGCACTGATTTAAGAACACTTTTACTGAAATCACAAACGCAGAAGAGATTCATCCTGTACCACACATTAAGGAGATAACACCATGATAAAAATATAACAAAAAATAACAGATTATGTCTCTTTAGAACATCCACCCAGTTCACGTAACAAACAAGACGAGACCAGCACTACAAAACCTCATGGGTGTATGGCCTTAAAGGGACACCTAAATATCTCTAATTATAAGAATAAGGATTATAAACTCAGCACAATTAGCAATGTAGTTGGGGTAATGTAGCGTGATTCTGCGGCAAAAGCCTATCATTATATTATAACTAGTTTGCTTTTCTCTTTATTTCCTTAATTTTTTCTCCCATCTAAAAAATAATTTACTGGGGGGAAATTTGGAAGTAAGCTATTATTTTATGGCATAAAAAGCTAACAGGAATAAAACAGTGCACAAGAGCTGTGTAATAAAAAAAATACATATATGATAAATAAATTGTTGAGTTTCATACAATTTACAAGTGGCTTTACAACCAATGTAAAGTAAAGAGCAGTTTAATTCCTTATGTGTGAACTTGTACGGGATTAAACAAATGCTGGATAGTGGAAGAGGGATTAACATAGCTTAAAATCAACAAGGTAACAGGGTATAAGGTAAAAGCATTGGAACACTGAATGAGGTGGGTTCATACAGATATGAGTTAAGTAAACTATATTGTGAAACAGGTGGTTCATATATATATGTACATATACATATATTTAATATGTGTGTGTGTGTATGTGTGCGTCCTTGTGTGCTTTCGTATGTACATTTTACCTTGTACTTCTATATGCATGCTTGTCTGTTTCTATGCATATGTATATCTGTATGTATGTAAGTAAATCTTATTTATAATTGTGTGTTCTCCCTAGAATGAGTTTACTTTGAATAACATTACAGATGCACAGGGATTAATACCAATCCAATTATCAATATGATGTTTTTCACATTATTAGTCTAGAAAAGAAAAATTAGGACAAATACAAATTGGGTAAAAAAGTAATGAAGATTCTGTAAGGGAAAACTTTTTGATTACTTACAACAAACTTTTTTTGCTTTCAAGTTACACACAATCTACAAGCCATTATTTGAAGAAGACAAATAATCACTGTCTTGAACACATTACCAATACTTTGTAAAATGTTAATAAAGAATAATTACTATGTTCTTTTTTTTTTTTCGTCACTGAAAAAGTGGACATCATTACCATTTGTGCTGGACAAAGTGGACCCTAGACTACGAGACGAGACACTTAAGGCACATCCACGTGGACCAACGACAACGGGAGAGACCAAGCCAGAGTTCCGGAGTAACATTTGTTCTCACGCAAGACAACTTTACTTTTGATTCTTTGAGGCCCAACATTTGCGCCATTCAATAAAAAAAGAAGAAAAAAAAAAGAATTAATGAAAGAATACAATACTAGCAAAGAGATTACTTACATCACTCTTATATATATTCTTCTTTTGTTGTTATTCACAAACTGATAGGTATGTGGGATAAACAATATGCCACACACCCATTAAATCAAAATTCATCCTTTTAAACAAAACAGTATCAAAATAAAAAAAAGAATTATGATACAAGTAAATGATATCCTTGATTGTAACACCAACATATCAATAAGCAATCTTGGAAGATCATAATTGCCTATACAAAATGAGCCAACGTAAAAAAATCATGAAAGCAGGAAAATGACTATTATAAAAAATAATAACAAAGAAAGAAAAACAAACAGACATCATAATCTGCAAGAAGTCAGGCAACTATAAACCAATTATAAATGCAAATGCCTTTCTTGGAAATCACCAGGTATCTATCATGACAAACGGGAAATTTTGTCACCTTTTCCCCCAAACACACTTGGCTAAAAACTCAATCAAAGCACCTTCGCAGGCCACCTAGATCATCCAGACAAGCATTCTCTAACATGACTGCCAATGAACTTACAATATGAAGTGTTCTTGACACTGCTGTTAACCTGGTAATAATTTGAATCCAAGCTTTTTTTTAATAATTAGCACCAAACATTTCCACTTGCAATGGAAGAAATGAAATCACTGCAAATGCAATAAGGCATCAAAGTTATCTAAAAATATACACTATCAAATACAATTAGTGTACACTTCATTATTACATTTCAATGGTTCCTAGTTTGTAACTAGAAGCTAGTACTATCTGTGGTGACATACATGGTTAAAACTAGATGCAGAGAATACATTTCCATAGATGAACAGTCTAGCAATGCAATAATATCCATGATTATTATATATTAGGCAAGGAGAGGTCGAGTACAAGTTATTTGCATAAAAGATTTCTACCTCATCTATGGAAATCCCTTAATGCTACATTACGAAGAAATAAAAGGCAAGAAGTTCTACTATATTACAAGTTGCATAGATAACATGTGATGTTCTCTTTTTTAAAAAATAACATAAGGCGACTACATGATTGAACTCATATAGCTACTGTCAATGAAGTGTTGGTTCATCTGACATCAACCAGGACTCTGTTTGTCTAAAAAAAATCTTTCCTTTACAATCTCATCTAGATGATAAAATTTGAAGCACCTGATGATTTCGTACAATCTTTGGCCTGTCTTGCACACAAACAAGTAGACCAGTCCTGCATCTCTGCCAAATGTCAGCACAATCATTTCTGGTAAATATGTTGATTAATCACTTCTAGAGACAAGGCAATACGATACATATAGAGGATTCTGCACAAGACAGATATTGATACTAGTCTACCTTTCTAGGCTGTACTATTGAAGCGGGTATAATTCACTGCTAAATTATATTGATTGCTCAACCTCCTTATTTAAAGACCACTACACAGTATGTATCACTTCCTATACAAAATAATAATACTTGAGTATGTATATACTTGTAGAGTCAATTTGTGGTAACATTCTTCTTTCTATATTTTACAGAATGCCTTCCATGCTTCTAGGAAACTAGATTACATGTGATCTTGTCCATTTCTATAGTACCATCTATAAATGCACATTCATGTCAACTAAATACTAATCTATCTATCTATAACTATCATACATTGCACTGTCATAAATTCTCAAAATGCACTTCACAAAAATAGACCATACCCTACTTGGCACAATAACAGGTCAGTAGTCCTGATAACTTTAATGTTGGGAAATGGAAGTATCTAACGTAGTTATGAAATAAACTTGCGGAATATTTTCCTTGATACTCTCAAAAAGCTTATAAATAGAAATGTGGCACAATTTCTTTTGAGAGAAAGAGAGCGTTCTGATTTCATATCTATACCTAATGTTGCAAGCAAATCTGCAATTATAATGCATGAAACTTTTGCTTTTGCTTTCATCCAGCTTTAAAAAATACTACTCAAGGATCATGTAAGAAATGATCCTCGGTGACAAAATATATATTTATTCAATGTTTTCTTTAAGACTACATTAGTGAAAAAAGGCTATATGACTTTATGAAATCTGAAATGAATTCATATATCCATGCAAAATTAGTGGCCAAAAAATAAGTTATTAACACTCAGTTAAACAACATTCTCTTCAAGCAAAATGTGAAAAATGTAAACCCATTACACCCCTCAACAACTGAATAAAGAAAACATGATACCAAAAGGCATTTCTCCAGAATGTGATCTTCAAGGCGTCATAAATGACATTAGGTTTAGTTTCCTCTCTGAGAATTATGGGCATTCACTGTGTGCACATCTTCTCCAATATGGGCAAGATCATGTCGAAGGATGGTCGTTTGCCGGGGTCTTCGTTCATGCAAATTCGGACCAACTTTGATATGTGCGGAGATATGCCTGGTGGAACACTGACACGGAGGCCCTCTGTGGCAATCTGGAAATACAAAGGAGAGTAAGAATGTTATTAAAAAATAATAATAATAAATAAAAAACAATAATGAAATAAGAAATTTAAAAATGCAATCACAATGTTATCACTGCTTAGCTGTGACATAAATATTAGCTTTCTTCTTTAGCTGACATATATGACCAAACCATAAATAATATCAACTTAAAAAGAAGCAGAAAACCACTGACCCATGAACACAGGTGGTAAAATATATCTAACAAACTAATACAATTTCTCTGAGATGCTTGGCCATTGGTGAGACACTTTGGCTCGTGCTAGCATCTACCTATCCCAAGGTACGATTCGCAAAGGGGAGGGTACAGCAGCTTGCCCAATTACAGTTGCCCAAAATATGAGCACATGCAATCAGTACACTAATACATCTGAATCTTCCACTCTTTCTTAAACCACAAGCGGCCTTATCAGTTATCACAAATCATAAAAATACCTTCATTCCAGCTTCCATGGGCGTAAGATCAGCAAATGGAACCTCACGGGTCGCCATCTCCCAGAGCGTCACTGCGAAGCTCCACATATCTGCTGCTTTCACATTCAGATCTTTTGGTTTCTTCTGCAGAGCTGTAGTATGAAATTTAGAAATAATGACAAGAACAAAAACAGCAACAGGATTAGCAACAACAACAACAATAATAATAATAAAAATAATAATAATAAAAATAATAATAATAATAATAATAATAATAATAATAATAATAATTAATGTAACTAATGATGTAAAGTAAGGTTGAAATCTTTTAAAACTGCAGCAGTTCTTAAATGGGTCTGATATAGATGAACATTGAAAATTCTGGATGACAATGTAAATTTGGTGAAAGTACATAAATCAAAAGCTATACTGTGAATTTCATGCAACTATGCAGATAAACCCACTCATGATGTTTGATATACTATAACACAGACCATCCCTCACACCAGGATGAAAGTTGTGCCCTAAACAGCTGTTCACATGTTTGGCCCCGACTGGTCATTGAGGACAATGAAACGACAATGTAGAGAAGGGGGTAAATCTGCTTCTCCCACACTTCTAATCATTCTCTTAATCAGCTTACTCCGACACTACCCATCAGTTAGTTCACTAACAGAGATCCCGTCGTTAGTGGATTAAGTGCACTAGTACCAGCAATACTTTCAAAGACTTATTCAATAATCACAGACGTTTTCTTACCTTCCGGTGAGAACCACTGAGGAGAATAGATCTTGCCTTTTTCTTGGAATGAAAACTTTGCATCTGCCATGTTTATGCGAGCTGTCAAGTCATCATCAATCTGAAATTAAAGAAAAAAATCTACATTAAAAGTAAAATTAAATTAAATACATGAAGATCAAACAATGACGAAAAGAAATAGAAAGAAGAGAGAGAGAAGAGAGAGAGAGAGAGAGAGAGAGAGAGAGAGAGAGAGAGAGAGAGAGAGAGAGAAGAAGAGAGAGAGAGAGAGAGAGAGAGAGAGAGAGAGAGAGAGAAGAGAGAAAAAAAGAGAGAGAAGAAAAAAAAGTGAGAAAGAAAAAAGAGTGAGAGAAAAAAGAGAGAGAAAAAAAGAGTAGTGAGTGAGTGAGTGAGTGAGTGAGTCAGTGATGAGAGTGAGAGGGAGGAGAGGAGGAGAGGAGGAGAAGGGGAGACGGGGAGAGGAGAGGGAGAGAGGAGGAGAGGGAGGAGGAAGGGGGGGAGAGAGACAGAAAGGAAGAGAAGATAGAAAGAGAGAAGGGAGAGGGGAGAGAGGGAGGAGAGAGGAGGAGAGAGGAGGGAGAGGAGAGAGAGGAGGAGGAGAGTATAAAGGTTTTAAACGGTATTTCTATATAATTGTAGTTGAATTACAGATGGCTGTTAGTGATACACTTAGTGGCTGTTCTACTTATTTCTAAGAGTTACACGCACTGGTTATAACGATACAAGAACAGGGTATCTGGCAGTGCAGAGTGAAGAGAGTGGCAGCCCCCATGCCCTGCTCGGGCGAGTGACCTGGAGTGACCGACCTGGTCAAGGGCCGGCTCGTCAAGGTGTGAGGGCGTGAGTGAGGATGGGTCAAGGTTTTGCCTCCCTTATATTCTGACCAGCAGCGCGGGCCTTCTATATTTAGATAGCGTGGCTTGGGGGTGAAGGGAGGGCAGACGGTGAGCGGGCACGACATGTAGACCATAGCAGACCACGTGCTCTAGATAAAAACACACGTGGTCTGCGAGCTTGCAGTATGTTTATGCTATGCAGTATGCTATATTGCATCCTATATGAAGGAGGAGTAGGAGAGAGGAGAGAGAGTGAGGAGAGAGGGAAAGAGAGAGAGAGAAAGAGAGGAAAGAGAGGAGAAGAGAGAGAGGGAGAGAGAGAGAGAGAGAGAAGAGAGAGAGAGAGAGAGAGAGAGAGAGAGAGAGAGAGAGAGAGAGAGAGAGAGAGAGAGAGAGAAGAGAGAGAGAAGAAAAAGGAAGAAAAGGTGGATGCAATGAGAATGAGGAAAAAAGAGAAAGAAAAACATGAAAAAGCACAGAAAAAGAAGGAACAGAAAAAGGAAGAGAAAGAATAATAATATCAACATTAATAATATTAAAAAGGAGAATGTCAAAAAATACAACTCACCATTATATGTTTTGAAGACAAGTACAGATTGGGGACCAGCTTCTCCAAAGAGTGAATGAAAGCCATCCCCCGCGCAATGTCCAGGGCAAACTTGAGAGCCTGTGCCGTGTCCACAACGACTGATGTTTCCTGGTGCAACAGCTGATAGAGAGATCCATAAGGGAGATACTGTGTGATGACCACCAAGTTCGGGGGAGAGTTAGAGCAGCCGACAACTGGCAGGACATTGGGATGTGAGAAGATTCTGAAAGCATGGTTTGCCAGCATTTAATTATAGGGATATTTTTTTTTCTACTTTCTTCTGTCAAATTAAACCCACTTGTAGAGAGGTAACTTGCAATCTAAATGTAGCAATAAATGAAAAAAAAAAATTAACACAGACACAGTACCTCACAAGGGACAAGACAACTAATGAGAGCATCGCATACATATATTAAAATAAGATCAATTTCTAGGGTGAGCATTATGAAACCAAAGCATGTAATAACTCCAGCTTATAGCAAGGCTCAGTCAGTCCTAGGTCTTCTCTCATTACCAGCACTCATAAGCTGATAAATATGCCTTATATACATCTCACCTTGATCTAGATATGCTGATCGCATTTCACAAATGAAAACTAAAGTGAATACATCTTCCAGGCAGCATTGGGCTAATAGGAGATAGGGTATTGAATAACGGAAATTAACAAGCTGCTGGTGGTAACAAAGTCCTATTTAGAAGAATTGGTGAATTTCTGAGAAAGCATGATTGGTTAAGATGCTAACTTAGAAACTGAGATCTGATCATTCCAAAAGGACCTCTAATCAACCCTTAAATACTGTGAAGCTTGTAGTGGTGGCCAACCTTGTATCATAGCATGATTAGTGATGGAACTCTTGAGAAATATCCCAAGAGCTGTACAGAAATGTCCTATACTTTCATTGAAGCTCGCCATCTATTTTCTTTGCTACTTTCAAAAGATCACTTATTTCATTTTCTGAAACTCTGACTCAATCTGTGATGTGGTGTCCTTAGGTAAATCCTTGACAGAGGTTACAGTAGTTACAAAAAGGGACAAGAAAAAGAAGTCACAACAATAATAAAATCAGGTCTACTAGAGAGATGCCGGACATAAGGTACTATATAATACGTCTGAGATAAAGAGACAGCCGGGGATTGGCTAAGCCTTGATGTGAATCATTTATGTATGACTAAGAAACCATGGGGACATTACCATATATCAAGATCATAATAAGAATAAAATGTCCACAGACAATTCGCATGACCAGTTCTCTGACGAAGCAGCAACCCTCAAAGGGTTAAAGAAACCACAATACCTTAGCCTCGGGAACTCCTCATTGAAATCACGGCACACTCGAGGAGAGCATTCCCTCAGAGCCAGAATTTTTGCAACAATTTCGTTCCCTTGCCACTTCCCACGCCACATCTCTCCAGAAGGGCTCACGGCAATCTTGGTGTGAAGGGCCAATTCATTGATATTAATGCCTTTGTGCCTGGAGAGGGTAGGGTCGCCTGCAAAGAATAACGAGGTGAGGCAATCTAAAGACTTCATTTTCATACAACAAAACTGTTTCATAAATCAAAGGAAGAAAGAGTCTGCTTGTCCAATCAATTTAACTGGAGCACTCTAATCAACCCAATTGGAAAACATTTCATATCTCAATGAAAAAACAAAGAGCCAGACTGCCCATTTAGGCTACAATTACTTTGCTTGATACATAAAATATCCGTTAAAGAATTTACTTACGGCTACGAGTCTTCAGGCCAAGCCAACTCTGATCTTTGAAAGCAACCTTCTCAAGGTTTTGGCCGCAGTCAACTGCCAAACCTGTTGAAACACAAACACAAATCATTATCCTTACTGTTATCATTAGCAGTATCATCATTATCATTATCATTAATTCACTATTACAGTTATATAATAATAATATAATAATAAATAATAATAATAATAATAATAATAATAACAATAATAATAATAATAATAATAATAATAATAATAATAACAATAATAATAATAATAATAATAATAATAATAATAATAATAATAATAATAATAATAATAATAATAAAAATCAACAACAACAGCACCAACATATATATAAATAATCTAATTAACAAAATTAAACCAAACTGTAAAACAAAAAACTACATTCTTTGAAAAGCATCAACATCAAACCAATGAATATCAAAGAAGTTCAATCTCTACTCATATATTTCACTTACTGTGAAGCTTCTTTGCCATGGCTCCTTTGCACTTATCCAATGGAACTTCCCCATACTTGTTGGCAATGGACACCGATGCCCCAGCCTGTACGAGATCCTCAGCGATCAACTGATACCCCCAGAAGCAGGCATAGTGTAGTGGGGTGTTTCCATGTTCATTGATAAAGTTGACATCCGCCTTGTGTCTTATCAGCTGGAAGAAATGATGCGACTTTAAATGCTGGGAAAACACTAGGAAATAAGAGCCCATTAAATGTCATTGAGAGTAAAATGAACTAATTAAGAAAGAGACTATTCCCTATCTTTAACCCATGCTGTCGGGATCATGGAGTATTTTTTTATAATGTCTCTGCACACAGATGGCGTTGCAAATGCTTAGCCATGGAGTCAATTAGTACACCTTGTGACCTCACCTTTCATCCTTCCTTGAGTTTTCAGAAAAAAAAAAATTTTATACTAGTGCTGCCAAGAATGATGCTGGTATTATCATTAAAGATATCAATTATCATTATGTTGTTTTTGAAATTATCAAAAAGGAGAGTTTTTCCAAAATATTTCTAAAATTCAGGTGATATACACAGTACTAGTAATTTGTACTTGTGGAGCCATCTATGTACAATTAATTTATAAACTAAACTCACAGTCAGCATGGCACTGCATATACGTACATGCCATCCCCAAGAGCATTGGGTTAAAAATAGAGAGGAGAAGAAACTCAAAATAAAGTTTGGCCAAAACCAATTCAAAATCAGTAACGTGACATCGCATGCTAAATAATCATGATTTTATGACCTATTCCCAGGAATAAGACCTTACACCATAAGCCAGACATTGACCATGGGAGAGAGTGGCATGCCCTGATAAATGCCTGACCTCACCCAACTTTACCTAAATCCTTACCCTTCATTACTGGGTAAACATTGAGAGATTTTGGTGGATGTTCAAAATATAACAAATATAGAAATCTCCAACTGATGGTATCTGCCGTTTGTCTCAAGCACAATATGTCACTAGTTCTGTCAAAGATCATTTCTGTCTGTGGGCACATGAGCAATACTGATTCCAAACGTGATGTTGTTTTGTCATTGGTATTCCATTTTTTTTTTACTGCCTGTTACACATTTCCAGAAATCAATAAACTGTTCTAAAAAAGACAAAAAAATATATATATTTTTTTTCTTTTATTTTGCTACAGCCTGTCAAAGGTTTTCAGAAATGAAAGCTGTAAACCATGTAATAAAATCATTATGGCTTAATCATTGAAAATCTGCTTATGAATGTACAAATATAAAGAATGGTATCCTAAACTGACCCAACACCACTGCAACAAACAAAAGTAACAACTTGCAAGGCTAAATTACCAAAAAAGAAAAGATTTACTTTATAAAAGACCAAAAAACATATTTCTTTTCATGCTTATTATGAAGTAGTGTATCTATTCACTATCAACAGATGTTTTCTGTTGTGTTAACTATTAATTTTCCTTAGTTCCCAAGTTCATGCTGATCTCTAATAACCACTTCTTTTAGTTTCTTATTATTCCCATTTTTTTTAATGTCACATATAATAAAGCCATACCCAAAGAAAGAAAAGGAAAGTAAGGAAAAGTTCAGCTTGTGAATGTCAAAGGGCAACTGTCTTACAATACAATCCCAAGCCAGAAAATAATGAATAAAAAAATAATCTAATACAATAACAATAAAAACGGCACAAGACTTACAAGACTGACAATGTCCCTGTGTCCATGAGCAGCTGCCAGATGAATCGGAATGTCATCGCCAAGGTTTGTGGCATTGATCCGAGCACCTCTGGTTATCAGCATCTCCACAATGCCCAGGTGACCCTCCTTGGCTGCCCAGTGCAAGAGCGAGAAGCCATGGTCATCTCTGTTGAAAGTTGAAAAGAATACATAATTTCTCTACACTTAAATTGTAAGGGAGAGATGCCGTCATCTCTATTGAAAGTTGAAGAAAATACATGATTTCTTTACACTTCCAGTTCGAGAAGCCATGGTCATCTGTTGAAAGTTGAAAAAATACATCATTTCTTTCCACTTCCATTTTAAGAGCCATCATCATCTCTGCTGAGTGTTGAAAAGAATACATAATTTCTTTACACTTCAGTTGCAAGAGAAAGAGCCCATGGTCATCTCTCTTGAATGTTGAAAAATTAGATAATTTCTTTACACTTCCCTTGTAAGAGCCATTATTCATCTCTGTTGAAAGCTGAAAAGGCTACACAATTTCTTTATACTTCCAGTTGCAAGAGCGAGAGGCCATGGTCAGCTCTCTTGAAAGTTGAAAGGAATACATGACTTCTTTATACTTCCATTATAAGAGCAAGAAGTTATGGTCATCTCTGTAACACAAGAAGTTGAAAAGAATACAGGATTTCTTTACACTTCCAGTATAACATGCCTTTCTCTTTAAAAATTATTAGAATTCTGAAAATGTGATTCTGCAGAAGCAAAGAATATAGTTAAGAAAGGATCCAAGCATGATAAAATTGCAGTATTAGATACTACTCTCTTAAGATTTGTTTCTTTAACTAAAAATACTGACAATGCTCAGTAGCTCCTGAAGTAGCATGTCCAGAGTGGCAGGAAACATTTAATGCACTTTTAAAAATGTTTCATGTTGCACACTGCCATAAAGAAGTAGAGTGAATGCATACTAGTAGATATGGAATGGAAATAGATCATCAGTCTGACTTGCTACTAATTCCACATTATTTAAATAGTAACAATAAAATCTATGGTATTTGTTTAATTACCACTATTGTTAAACAACAGAGGCAGGCTGTTTTTAGAAGTTTCATTGTTTGAGCGATTAACGAAATCATTACAAACATGTAGTAAAGCATATTTTTCATATCTATGGAAAATCACGATTCACACAATGGCAAGCCAAATGGGAATACTCATTACAGAAGACAATAATGCTGAATCTTGTAAATGCTTTCCCATGACGGTATATGCTCCCATCCACAAAGGTTCTGGTCCTTAACTACAGGTCAAGTCTAGGCGAGCAGGGCATTGCGATTTTAGAACGTACATACTTAGCATTTCCTGCATTCTTCATATTTACATATGGAGATTGTTTAGATTCAAAATATATGCAGAAAACATTAAATCCCTTCCCACAAAAAAATATATTCTAATAAATATAAAAAATATCAAATATGAAATATTAACTCTAATTAGGTATTTTATTTTATTTCTCATATATATCTATCCAAGAAAGAAATCTATAATTCTTCAAAATCGAATTGAAAATCTATGATGTGATACATAAAATACCTCAAATAAATTTATTCATTTCTTTTATTTCCTTTTAATCACTTCAGCAAATCCTTACCCTTGGTTCATATCATGTTCGGTGTCGTCTAGCCATAGTCGCACTTGTACAGTGTTGCCTTCACGGCACCAATGGAATATATCCTCCATGACTCAAAGCTGCAAAGACAATAAAAAATAAGACTTCAGAAACATAGTTTTAACTGCAGTAACTGCACAAAAATGTAAAAAGTCCTCCTTTGGCAGTCAGGATATTAAACACTTGTTTTGATGCATACTGATATAGCTTGTAGTTTTGATACTTTTTGCAATTCTGCAATATCTGTAATTGTGATAATTCCAAACGATGTATATATGGTGTTACATATGGCCCACACAAAATAGGATTGAAAGCCATACAAAGACATAAAATATAGGAGAAAAAAATGACACTGTTCTTCACTTTACACTACTGTCATAATCAAAGCAATTAATTAATTTTGCATCAAATAAAGTAGAACTGCAATCCTTTCTTAGTATAGCATTACTGCTAATGTCACACTTTAGTATTTTAATGATTAAACCACTGGATCCTATTGAGGAGAATGTCTTGTTATGGAAAAATTTGGCCGAGGACCAGGGTGATAGAAATGTCTAGTCACGAGAAACTGTTGGCGAGCGGCAGGTGACGGGGACATCTCGCCATGATTGCACTAAACTTTTGGAGGGAGACTGACTCAGCAGGCTCTCAATTAAGGGACTCCGGCAATATTTCCATTAGTATGCAAGGGTGGAGTATACAGTCCTGCAGAGCCCTAAGGATGACACTATGTCCACGCCCAGGAACCTATTTTTCCCTGCTGTCACCTGCAGTGTAGGGTGCGTTACAGGAAATGGATAACACGCACAAAAAAATATATATATACACAAACAGCACACTGTTACTTTTTGTTACTGCTTATTGCATAGTTTATACTACCTGGAAAGATAATATAGAGTATGCTCCATGAAAACAATTCATTACGCTTTTGATATAGCATAACTAATAAAAATATGTACCTCAGACAACAGCAATACAGGAAAAACTTGCCTTTAGAATAAGAGTTAATAACAATGCACAAGTAATTCTACAGCAGGATTTTCAACAGTGGATCCTGTGTATATATATATATATATATATATATATATATATATATATATATATATATATATATATATATATATATATATATATATTAATTTGAATTCAAAACTATCAGAGAAAAAATTTCCTATCAGAGAAAAAATTTCCTTTTTCTTTATTGTTCTAATTCACTTCAATAACCTGAATCCAGGCATTAGGCTTATGTCTTGTAGGCCATTTTCCAAGTCTATATTTGTAATCTGTTGTCCTGTATCATAGTGATCATACAATGGTTTCATTTGGCATACTCCATATTCTCCTTCTTGGTAGTATAAAACTCTGTGCAGTAAAATAATATAAGTATCACATTCAGCATATTCGCATCATGCAGCCCTCAACCAAATTTTTCTATAATGTGATATCACCTGGATCCAATGGGTTAATCAATTAACTTTCAGTTTGTAACAATGGTCTAAGATAAATGCCTAGAATTTATCAATCTAGCAATTCTATGCACTTTAAGCTCCTTCCAAATGAATTTGATATTGGTATAAATCTTGATCACATTCAACCGTAAGTATATCAAAACTAACATAACCAAATTTAATTTAGCTTAGTTGAACTCAAACTAATTGAACTTTAGCCAACCAAATTCAGACTGTTTATCCATATACACATTGCCCATGGCAATTTTGGTTTAGTTTCAGTTTCACACTTTCACAAGGTTTAAGGTGTATTTTCCCCATATAGAATGGAGAGAAGAACAAAAAATAAGGCACTTCTAGTCTATGGCAATTTGATAAAAAGTTTTGTAAAATGTAAAACTTTGGTATATACACACACAAACATAAATAAAGGTAAAAACAGCATTCAATGATACTTGCAATAATCGAAGGCTAAGAATAACATCAGAAATTAAGAAAATTAGGTCACAACAAATGTCACATGGAGACTAAGTCTATGGAGACTGGGCGGAAATCCACTACCAGAGCCCCTAATACGGAAATACAGTGATCGGGTGGGGGTCAGGGGGTGAAGCCCGTGTTAGGAAGGTCTTTGGTTCATATGGAGATGTTTGTGGATCCCCAGGAGTAAATGGAGTCATAGGGACTTGGTCCCAGAGGGGTGTGGTCACTTCATAAACAATTACTAATACTTTCACTTAATATCAAGATAGATTCACACATATTAACAGAAACAAGGAATAATAATTGCAAGGTAGCATGGCAGTGTGAGACTAGAGCTAGGAAGAAATGGTGATCTGGAGGAATTCAGGGGGAAAACCAGCTAGAGAAATATGGCAACTAGCAGGAGGTCCAAGTTTTTGGTTCATACAATGATCTTTGGGTTTTTCTTGCATTTTGGATCGGGTTCATTTGTTCGTTGATTAGAGTTGGGGACTCGGTCAATATGGTGCAGCCCTGTTGTAAACTTTTACCCTTACTTCTTTGTAAACAAACTCTGAGCTATGTAGCTTATACCATCTCGAAAACAGTGGGGCAACATAGCTAGTCAGTAGAAAAAATAACACTACATAGTTTTTGTAGTGTCTTGAAAGCAAGGCAGGCTAATACGAATCTGCGGCACTTCATAACCCAAATATCCAAAAGTGAAAGCAAATTCACATTGTTTATCACTCAATGATGAAACTTCAAAGTAGGTGTAAATAACACTTTTAGTATGTATTTTCACTATTTACTCTAACTTGGGAGAAAATTTCTATATCAATTTTCACTGACATTCTGGCTAATTTCTTACTCGAGTATCCATGTGGGCGTGTATTAAATCATGAAACACTACTGCATACGGTGCATGAAGTTGATAAGGATAACTTGGTTCAATAACACTTCTTTTATCACAAACAGTTCAATTTCTTACTGTATATCTACGTGATTAGAAAGTCTTCCTTAACAGCTCTAGCATTCACCATTTGATAGCAATCAGTCAGATGCACTTGGTATAGCAATGCTATGGAAATAACTTTCAAGATTGTAAACCCAAACCAGTCCCTGCTTTAAAACAAATTTAGAGTTAAAACCCTCCAAAGCAGAGACAAACAGGAGTCCATATGTTCCCACCAGTGACGACATAAGCTTTAAAGCAGCAGATGGCACAAGCAACACCTGAGTGCCCTTCCCTGGCCCTCGCTCCCTCAGCAGGGCAGATTACCTGCTTATCTCTCCAAGCACAGATTACGTGGGGATCCCTTGCAACCGGCCGGGAAACCACTGGCACTGGTACTCTCTGGTGATTACCTTTGGCCCTGCGTAAACAGCCCGATTGGCACCCTCGCCACTGCCAGCGACAGGACCTCCTCTCCTAAAAATAGACAGCCAAATACTCCCACCTACATTTCGCTCACGCCCTGAACGCGAACGGAACGGGCTTTCCCCCCTCGTCACGCCCTTCTTTCGCACCTTCCTCACCTGGAAATCAACCTGACCTAATGGGCGTGCACCTCTCCACCCCCCTGCGAGCGTTGCATGACGTGTTCCCCCAAGAATACCCGAGAAACTCACCATCTGGCGCTGAGCTGACAGCCTCTCTCGGGCACACCTACGCACGCACTCCCGTCCACGGTAAACATTGGAACCGCCGTGAGCATCGCGGGCGTGCGGGCGTGCGGGCGTGGGGCGTGGGGGCTTTCTGGGGTTTATTGGGAGGGGGAGGGGGTTTCTGGTGGAGAGGGGGAAGGTCTTTTATTCATTTCGGTGGAGAGCGGGGAGTGGTTGTTTCGAGTGGGAGGTTGGACGCGGCTTGAGGTGTGGTGAGGTTAAGGGAGAGAGAGAGAGAGAGAAATTCATCACTGCCCTTTTTTACGTGATTTATTCGGCCTTTCAGGTGGCCAGAGGGGAGGTTTATTCATGCCTCTGGCTACTGTCGAGTTTTTTAAGAGAGACATTTTTTGAGGGAGTAATTAGGGTGTCGGCGAACACGCCCCGGGTGGGTGCAGCACTTGCACCAATTAAATTCGATCGGTTGAACTATCTGCACAACCTATTTGCAATGCCACAGCACGTCACCTGGCATTATAATCCTTTCCCTTGTGTACGAGGGCCACTCTCAAAGGATGCAGTGCCTTAAAATCGAAGGGTTTTATAAGGTGAAGTGGCATCGCGGACAGGATATGTCACATCCAGTCACTCTCTTCTGGGAATATGTAACATTACAAAGGGTGTGGCCCCACTACAGGCCAGGGCTACTCTTTTCAACTCGGTCAAAGTCTATTGGAATATATACAATCAATTATTCTTACTGTTATTCTATCTTATGAAAGATATGAAAGCAAGAGTTACAATTTATATTCGTTTATGAGCGGGGCGAACAGAAAGAAAGTATTACTGATAAGGTTCAATTTAAACATTTCAAATTTAATCTATAACCATCTTAAGCACTCATTCATCAAAGGAAATAAAATATTATAACAGCCAAAAAGGCAAATCAACTTTAAGAAATAAAGATATTATCTCTATTCACATACACACGCTTATAAGACACGCACAAGGTCTATATAAGTACTTATATAGACCTTGGACACGCACACACATACACACGCTTATAAGGCACACACACACGCACACACGCTTATTACACACGCTTATAAGTATACACACACATACGCACACACGCTTATAAGACTACATACACACACGACACATACACACGCTAAAGCACACACACACGCACACGCTTACACAGACACATACACACGCTATAAGGCACACACACATACACACGCTTATAAGACACACACACGCACACACGCTTATAAGACCTACATACACACGCTTATAAGACACATACACACGCTTATAAGACACACACACACGCACACACGCTTACACACAGCTTTACACACACACGCTTATAAGACACATACACACGCACACACGCTTACACACACACACACACGCTTATAAGACACATACACACGCTCACACACACGCACACACGCTTATAAGACACACACACACACGCACACACGCTTACAAGACCTACATACATCAAATCTTTAGCTCAGAAGCCACACTCTTTCGCCTTGAATCATGCTTAGAAGGTCAATAGACTTGGCATTAGAGGCAATCTTTTAATAATCTATTGGAAAATGTGCCACTACAATACACGAAACTTTTTTTTTTTGTCAGTTGTATCTAATCAGTGTAGCATTTAGAGATTATAATTACTTAATTGCTGTGTGTCAAGAGCGAAAGGTTTTAGGATTATATTGATTTTCGTTATCTTGTTTATCGTTAACATTGATATCATTTTGTTATTATTGTTATTATTACTATTTTTGTTATCATTATCATTATTTAATGTTATCATTATTGTTATTATTATTGTTATTATTGTTGTTGTTGTTATTATTATTATTATTATTATTATTATTATTATTATTATTATTATTATTATTATTATTTATTATTATTATTATTATTTATTATTATTATTATTATATTTTATTATTATTATTATTATTATCATTATTAATCATTATTATCATTATTATTATTATTATCATTATTATTATTATTATTATTATTATTATTATTATTATTATCATTATTATTATTATTACTATTATTATTATCATTATTATTTATTTATTTTATTATTATTATCATTATTGTTGTTGCTGTTGTTGTTATTAATATTATTACTGTTATCATGATTTTTACTACCATTATTATTATTATTATCATTATCATTATCATTATTATCACTGTTACTATTATCATTATTATCATAATAATAATGATAGTAATGACAATAAATATGAAAATGATTATTATGATAACAATGATGGTAATGAAAATAATAAGAATATTATTGATGATAGTAATAATGATAATGATAATAATGAACAATAATATAATAATAATATATAATAATAATAATAATAATATAATAATAATAATAATAATAATAATAATAATAATAAATAATAATAATAT